ACCAACTAAACGGCAGTGTAACATTTGAAGGGGTTAACCTCCACCTATATATTAACAATGAGAGGGCTCTAATCTCAAGAAGATGCAGGCAAGAGAAGATCCTACTCATGACCCCATCTTCTACAGCCAGTGTAGGAGAATGAATGTGGCTGAAGACAGAAAAAGAATAACTTCTCCATAAAGAGAATGTTTTCCTAGGTTCTCTTGATATATATAAAAACACAGAAGAAATATAATACAAAAGGCACATAACTGGTAGAGAGACCTGGTTGGCTATAAAATACGTGTTTCATTAAGTAAAAGCAGCAGAAAATATCTGTGTGAACAAATCTGTGTGAGCAGAACCTGTGTGAGCAGGATCTGTATAAGCAAATCTGTGTGGGCAAAATCTGTGTGAGCAAATCTGTGTGAGCAGAAAATGTGTGAGCAGAAACTATGTGAGCGAATCTGTGTGAGCATGCAGAAGGTAAGTAATTATCACCCCTCCCTAGCCAATCTGTGTCTCGAAGGTCCTCCAAAAGTATTATCAGGACTGTGTAATTCAGAGGCATGTCAAAAGTCACACTGCTGGGGCCCCAGGCCTGCCTGTGACCCTTGCCTGAGCTGGATGGCTCCACAACACTGGCTTATGCTTCTGTTGGCTCTGGTACAGAGACATGATGCTCCACAGAGGGAAGATTGCACCAGCCAAGCACACTAGTGCTTACTGTGTTTCATCACCCTATACTGTCTGTCTAGGATTGTGACACCATTTCCCTAATGACTCCAAATGCTGGATGGATCAACAGGGCACACACCCCGTAAGTGCAGACTTCCTAAACATAGAGTCAGAAGTGGGGCAGAGGTCTACAGCATGCAGTCATGATTTACATGGGTTAATACGGACACAAATGAACACAGAACACAGTACTCCTCCTACAATGTCTTTTGCTTGCTCACCCATTTCAGCCTCTGTCACAGTGGCCTATTGGATGACTATCTCCCAACAGACACCACATTTTAATGAACTTAGGATCCCATGCCAAGTTTAGATGTCACAGATGCTCCATAACTTGGAGTTTATTCCAATTTCACAGGATAAAAGGACAGTCAGTCTGAATTAAATACAGCAAATCTCATAGGTGCTGACCTTACTCTAAATTAAGACATATTTTCTCCCACTCTTTCTTTTGAGGGTCCCATGTAGCCCAAGCTGGCCTCAAACTCTAGTCAAGGATGATCTTGACCTTCTTTCTGCCTCTACCATCCTGAGTGCATGGGATTACAAGTGTGTACCACTTCCCTTAGTTTGTCTGGGCTTCATGTATGCCAGGCAAGCAATCTACCAACAGATATCCGCAGCTCCCAATAGCATACAGCTTCTATAGTTCCTCATGTGCAACCCTTCAGATAATAAATTTCTTCTTACAAAGAACCTGCCCACTTGACCAATTTTAATACTAAATCAGAGTGCCAAGATTTTTCTACATTTTTTATTATATTTTTTTAAAAAAAATGTAGCTGGAAATACAGGTAAGTCATTCAGAATGAGTGAGAGTTTAAACTTCTATAGAAACTTGGTGGCAGCCTCTGGGGCCACTGCCCAGGTCCATTCTAAGCCATCTGTGATTCTGGAATGTGGAGGACATAGAAAAACCCAACAAGGCAAAGAGGGCAAGAGACCCCACAGACCCTCCATACCACTCAGTTGTACCCAACAAGGCAAAGAGGGCAAGAGACCCCACAGACCCTCCATACCACTTGCTACTGTCCCCTGTGTATGCAGAACTGGCCCAACAACCCTCAGGCCCAAGCCAGAAGCTATACCTAAATGGTAAATACCTCCAATAGCTAGGGAGAAAATAGGAAGGGAGGAAGGATAACGCTTGCATTGTGTTCTGGTAGGCTCTCTGAACACAGGGGAAAAGGGTGTGCACTGTACATGACAGGACACCCCTGAACTTCTTGTGGGCCTTCATACATGGGTAACACCAGTGAGAGAAGCCAAAATTCTGCTCCTTAGTTACAGCTCTCAGGAGCCCCCTAAGTTATAGATAGCAAGGCTAGATCAGACACTCCATCAGAGAGGCTACAGGACTTTCTGAAAACACTGGAGAACTTAGCCTTTTGATTTAATCTAGTGATTTATTTCTTCCTTATTGCCACTACTCCTATAAAATTTGACTTCCTATGAACATGGTGTCTGAAATGATTATTGGAATTCTTATACCAACTAAAACTTTTTCTTTAGGCATATAAATAAACAAGGACTGGCTTTAACTCACATCTACCAAAAGCAACAGGTGTCATATGTTGCATGGGAAAAAGAAGATTGCACTCAAATAACCCTAGGAAAGCATTACATATAATAAAAAATGCCTCTCCCTCCCTCCCTCAGCCCCCCTCTCATTTTTTCTAATTTTTTAAAAAGGGCTTAGTAACAGAGTTCAAGCTGACCTTGGATCAGCTATGCAGCCCAGGCCAACATCAAACGTTCAATCCTACAACCTCAGGCTCCAGAGTTCTGGGATTACAGCATATACCACCATGCCCAGCTAACATGTTCTTTACCATGGGACTTTTCTAGACCTTTGTCACCATACAATAGTACTCTTTCAGAGGAAGGGGCAGTATATAACACCTCCACACATTTTCCCTGGAGAATCTGATTTTGTTATTACTGGGGTTTTGGGGTGCTGGAGACTGAATTTAGAGCTTCACATATATGAAGTATATTCTTTTCCAGTGAGACACAATCCTTTCCCAAACAAGAGTTGTGGTGTTTTTTTTTCCTAACTTCATTATTTATCTGAATTATTTTTCCACTATGTGTCTGTATATGGTGTGTGCACTGAGCTTAACTGACGATCACTCCTCTTCATATTACTGACTGACACTTGCTTCAGGGCTCATACATCATGGTTGAGTTTATGACTACAGTCTGTTTTCATCCTCATTGATAACTTGGGAGTGGACTAACACCAGGGTACTCTAGCAGGTCTGAAGGGAATAGGGATATATTTTGCTAAGTTTCTTAGCTACCTTTTAAATTCAGTAGTGGTGAGCCAGCTCTACCCAGATCAATATAATCTAGTCACTACGTGCTATGTGAGCACAAACAACACCGGCTATACAGATGAACTGCAAATGTGGTGACCAGAGGTATCATATCTTTCTAGAGCTGGAGTTACAGGTGGTTGTGAGCCACCCAACATGGGTGCTGCTGGAACTGCATTTGGGTCATCTACTTGCTCTTAACCACTAAGGCATCTCTCCAGCCTAAAGTTTCATTTCTTGTGCAGTATTCTCAATTAGCTTTCAGCAGTAAAATGTAGTCTAAGGAACAGACTTTGAGACCCTTTGGTTAGAAGTTAGAATGAAAAAGCCCTGATAAGGACTGAAGAGATGACTCAGTGGTTAAGAGCACTGGCTGCTCTTCCAGAGGTTCTGAGTTCAATTCCCGGCACCCATATGGTGGCTCCCAACCATCTGTAATGAGATCCGGTACCCTCTTCTGGCCTGCAGGCAGACATACAGGCAGAATACTGTATACATAATATATAAAAATCAGAAGAAGAAGAAGAAGAAGAAGAAGAAGAAGAAGAAGAAGACGAAGAAGAAGAAGAAGCAACAGCCCTGATAAAGCCTCACCTTCTAAGTTCTAACTCCCAGGTATTCAGATTAGTTTCACTATGATTTGTAAAGTGTGGACCTCAAAGGTTCCCGTGTAAGGGGACTGGTCCTCAGTGTGGCAGTGCTCAAGTGCTGTGAACTTTATGAGGTGAAGCCTCAAATGCATCCCTGGGTCATCAGGGTGCTACCCTGGAAAGAGGTTAAGGTTCTGCTTCTGCAGCCAGTGACAGTTCTTGTAGCTGTGACTTGTTACAGCTTGAGACAGACCCCTGAGTCACTGTCTGCTTCTAGCTCACAATAGGAGAGGCTTCCTCCTCCCACCTCCCACCTCCCACCTGGGCTCCACCATCTGGCAGGAGATCCTCCCAAGCTCCACATTGCCTTTGCACCTGAGTAGAGTAGCCCATCAGTGTTTTCTTATAGTGATCAAAAAACTGACAAACAGCCCTCATCCCACCCTCCTGAAAAAAATTATCCAGTCTCAAAATTAAGATGTAAATGATCAAAGTAAAACAAAGAATTTACTGATACCATCAAAACATACACACAAGCAAAGTCGCAGGACAAGTCAAAAAACTACGATGAAAAATAATTACCATGCTGGGCAGTGGTGGCATACACCTTTAATCCCAGCCCTTGGGGGGCAGAGGCAGGCAGATATCTGAGTTTGAAGCCAGCCTGGTCTACAGAGAGAGTTCAGACATCCAGGGCTACACAGATAAACCCCAAACCAAAACAGAAAAAATAATTGCCAATGTTTTCAAGTTAAAATTTTCAATGTAAAGATTAGAAAACTCAAACAACAATAATAAATGTACAAAACATAGAAATTCGATTGTGTAATACTAAATAATTAAAATGGCCATATAATCTATAGCAACTGGAAAATATAACACAGACAACAATAACTTACTCCCCAAAAAGCAAACATTCACACAACTAAATGAATGAGTAGTGAGTACACTGTACTTTAGGGGACTGAACCACACTATGTCCTTGATTATATGTAAATGAGCTGACCCCTCATGTTAGCTTGTAGGGATGCTGAAACATAGGACACATCACTTGCCTGTATCTTTTTTAATCCCTGACTACATCTTTAAAGCCACAAGTACCCTCTTCAAATGCAGGCCTTAGAAATAAAATAATACATGGAAGAAGAGCTAACTCTGGAGCTAACTCACTGAGGAGCTAACTCACACTGCCCAGCCTTCCTGACAACAATGGTATCAAAACTCGGGCATCCACTATTCTACATTACAGACAAAACTATGAATAACCTTAGGCCTAGAGACGACACTGGTCTCTGCATGTACCAACCAGAACAAGTGGTTCTAAACCCATTCAGCTTGTGTATTGAACCCATCACAATAGAAGGCAAGACTTACCCACAGAAGCTGAGTTTTTAAGAACTGACTCGTTTGGGGCTCCTTTTTCAATTCGCAATGTGGCCCACTGTTCAAAAAAAAAAAGAAGAAGCAATTCGTTGAAACTCTTCCACAGACACATGTAAACACTGAAACATACCTAGACAAAGTAACATTAAAAACTAAGGCTGAGGCCGGGCGTTGGTGATACACCCCTTTATTCCCAGCACTCAGGGGGCAGAAGCGGGCAGATCTCTATGAGTTTGAGGCCAGCGTGGTCTCTAGAGCAAGTGCCAGGATAGGCTCCAAAGCTACACAGAGAAAGTCTGAGGCCGGGCGTTGGTGATGCACCCCTTTATTCCCAGAACTCAGGGGGCAGAAGCGGGCAGATCTCTATGAATTTGAGGCCAGCGTGGTCTCCAGAGCAAGTGCCAGGATAGGCTCCAAAG